TTTTCAGTCTAGTTGCTGTTAACATTAGTTTCAATGAGGGTTGTATTGAGAGTGAGAGACAAGCCCTTTTCATGTTCAAACAAGATTGATAAAGATTGTTGCGATTGGGTTGGGGTTGTTTGTGACAATGTGACTGGCCATGTGCTTCAACTCCATCTTACAAATCCACTATCTTCTCCGAAATTTTATGCTAGTGCTGTTGAATTTGAAGCCTTTGAGAGGTCAAAGCTAAGAGGTAAGATAAACCCTTCTTTGCTTATGTTGAAGCATTTGAATTATTTGGACTTAAGCAACAATGCATTTGAAGGTATTCCCATTCCCAAGCTCTTGGGTTCTATTGAGAGTTTAAGATACCTTAATCTCTCTCGCGCTGGATTTAAAGGATTAGTTCCTCATCAACTTGGAAATCTCTCAAGTTTACAGATTCTTGATTTTCATGATGATGAAAGTTTTCTCTATGTTGCCAATCTCCAATGGTTGTCTGGTCTTTCCTCGTTAGAACACCTTGATTTGAGTTATGTGAACCCTATAAAAGTTTCCGATTGGTTGAAAGTGATAAACACACTTCCTTCTTTGCAGAAACTATATTTATCAGGTTGTCAACTTTCTCAGGTTCCTCCATCCATAAATCTTAATCTGTCATCTCTTGCAATTCTTGACCTTTCTTTTAATTCTCTTGCAAATGCCTTGGTCAACTGGATATTTCAGTTCAAATCCCTAGTTTCCCTTGATCTGAGTGATAATAATTTCCAAGGATGTATATTTGATGGCCTTGAAAACATGACTTCTCTTAGGTACCTTGATCTTTCATATAACCATTTTAAATCTTCAATACCTGACTGGCTGTATAATCTCAACTCAGCTCTAACAACTTGCAAGGTTTAATTTCAAGTGCCGTAGGAAACATGAGTTCTGCCATTAACCTTGACTTTTCATGGAATGAACTTGAAGGAAAGATTCCAAGATCAATGGGAAATCTTTGTGACGTAAAATCACTTGATTATTCAGGTGTGAACTTAAGTCAAGATATATCTGACATTTTAGGAATTTAATCGGATTGTGTTTCTAAACAACTTGGTTTCTTGAGATTGGGTTGGTGTCAACTTTCTGGTCAATTAAGTAACCGACTTCTGAACTTTAAGAATTTGAAGGAACTTTATTTGTACAATAACTCAATCTCTGGTCCGATTCCGTTGTCCATAGGACAACTTTCGTCCTTGAGAGGTTTATATCTTGCTCAGAATAAATTAACAGGCCACCTTCCCGAGTCAGTTGGGCTACTTGCAAATTTGGAAATATTTGTTAAGGGGTGTCGTTTCAGAAACTCACTTTGACAATCTTACAAAATTGCAAATGCTATATGCTTCTGGTAACCCATTTGTTTTAAATGTCCGTCCTGATTGGATTCCTCCTTTTCAACTCATAATTTTAGAGTTAAAATCTTTGCATGTAGGTCGGCAGTTTCCCCCGTGGCTTCGTTCACAAAAATATTTAAGATATGTAGATATCTCTAACTCAACCATTTCAGATAGCAT